TTGTGGTGACTGTCACTTAGTCCCATGTGGGCACAGCGGTGGTGACTGTCACCTTAGTCTCATGTGGGTACAGCGGTGGTGACTGTCACCTTAGTCTCATGTGGGTACAGCGGTGGTGACTGTCACCTTAGTCTCATGTGGGTACAGCGGTGGTGACTGTCACCTTAGTCCCATGTGAGTACATCGGTGGTGACTGTCACTTAGTCCCATGTGGGTACAGCGATGGTGACTGCCACCTTCCTAGACCTGGTGGCTGCCATCTTCCTAGACCCATGTGGGTACAGCATCGGTGGCTGCCACCTTCCTAGACCCATGTGGGTACAGCATCGGTGGCTGCCACCTTCCTAGACCCATTTGGGTACAGCATTGGTGACTGTCACTTAGTCCCATGTGGGTACAGCATTGGTGACTGTCACTTAGTCCCATGTGGGTACATCGGTGGTGACTGCCACCTTCCTAGACCTGGTGGCTGCCATCTTCCTAGACCCATGTGGGTACAGCATTGGTGACTGTCACCTTCTTAGTCCCATGTGGGTAAAACATTGGTGACTGTCACCTTCCTAGACCCATGTGGGTACAGCATTGGTGACTGTCACTTAGTCCCATGTGGGTACAGCGGTGGTGACTGCCACCTTCCTAGACCTGGTGGCTGTCACCTTCCTAGACCCATGTGGGTACAGCATTGGTGACTGTCACTTAGTCCCATGTGGGTACAGCGGTGGTGACTGCCACCTTCCTAGACCTGGTGGCTGCCATCTTCCTAGACCCATGTGGTTACAGCATGTTGACTGTCACCTTTAGTCCCATGTGGGTAGAGTGGTGGTGACAGTGGTTGGTTTACTTTGAAATATGAATTTAAAAAGATGTCACATAGATATCCCCATTTTAAACCAAAATAAATAAGTCAATAAATTTCAGTCCAAGCCACTTAGCCATATCAGACTTTCAGTGATGTTTCAGACATGTCAGATTAATGGTAATATATTAAACATCAGATTGATGGTGATGCATTAATTTTCTCCTGCTTAATTTTTCATTGCTTTGTGTTACAGCTGAGAGTTATGTTGCTACAGTGGTTTCCTAAAGACATGGCTGAAGCGCCCCCAGATCGAATAATTGAGACTCCCTTTCAAACGTTTAAGGTCCACTCAGTGGTTTTTGAGAATATATCTGATTTCTTCAAAAATGCGTTCAAGGTAAATTTATAGGTTTGATCATTTTAATTTCTGGAAATTCAGCTTCAAATTCGGCGACTTTTCGAGATTTTAAGGAATACTTCTGAATTTTACAGTCATTCTCTGTTCAGTATAAATGTATGTTGTGATAGTCTGTGCAGTCTAAATGTTTTTTGTGATAGTCTGTTCAGTGTAAGTGCATGTTATGATATTCTGTGCAGTGTAAGTGCATGTTATGATATTCTGTGCAGTGTAAGTGCATGTTATGATATTCTGTGCAGTGTAAGTGCATGTTATGATATTCTGTGCAGTGTAAGTGTATGTTATGATATTCTGTTCAGTGTAAGTGCATGTTATGATATTCTGTGCAGTGTAAGTGCATGTTATGATATTCTGTGCAGTGTAAGTGCATGTTATGATATTCTGTGCAGTGTAAGTGCATGTTATGATATTCTGTGCAGTGTAAGTGTTTGTTGTAATAGTCTGTGCAGTGTAAGTGCATGTTATGATATTCTGTGCAGTGTAAATGTTTGTTGTAATAGTCTGTGCAGTGTAAGTGCATGTTATGATATTCTGTGCAGTGTAAGTGCATGTTGTGAAAGTCTGTGCAGTGTAAGTGTACGTTGTCATTTTCTTTACAGTGCAAAGTTTATTTCCTACTGAATGTTTGAGCTCTTGCTTCTAACACGTGCACTTTATTTCATACATGCTTTGGAGACGAAGATAGTTTTTTATATGTATTGGGACAAACAATTTGGCTTTGCAATAGAGCCGTACTGCAGTTGAGACTCGGGTGTACTCGGGTGTACTCGGGTGTACTCGGGTGTACTCGGGTGTACTCGGGTGTACTCGGGTGTACTCGTGTGTACTCGGGTGTACTCGGGTGTACTCGGGTGTACTCGTGTGTACTCGGGTGTACTCGGGTGTACTCGGGTGTACTCGTGTGTACTCGTGTGTACTTGTACTTGGGTGTATTTGGGTTTACTCGGGTGTACTCGGGTGTACTCGTGTGTACTCGGGTGTACTCGGGTGTACTCGGGTGTACTCGGGTGTACTCGGGTGTACTCGGGTGTACTCGGGTGTACTCGGGTGTACTCGGGTGTAAGCGGGTCTCGGAATATAACTTTCAGATTTTATACTTACTGGATTTAGTTTTTGGGCTTAAATCTCCCCACTCGACTGATACAGTATAATTTGTACCATGCATGTGTCAACCTTGGGTCCACCTTGGGTCCACCTTGGGTCCACCTTGGGTCCACCTTGGGTCCACCTTGGGTCCACCTTGGGTCCACCTTGGGTCCACCATGGGTCCACCATGGGTCCACCATGGGTCCACCATGGGTCCACCTTGGGTCCACCTTGGGTCCACCTTGGGTCCACCTTGGGTCCACCTTGGGTCCTCATCAGTTTCTTTTGCCTTGCGTTTCTTTTCAGCACAACCCTTGTGACACTATCCAACTAGGATCTTTGGAATCACCAATTTTCACTGGAACTGATCTCATGGTGTTTTTCCCCGACATAAGAGACTATGCCTACAGTGCAACTATCGAGCTCAACGCAGACAATGTCCAGAAGATATTGATTCTTGCAGACCACTTATGCATTGACAGACTTCGAGTAAGTATATAACATATCTCCAGGTCAATCTAGATAAATATAACCTGCCCCCCACCCCCCGTTAGGTTCTATTTACCCTCAGTAATTTTAGATACATTGAATCCGGATAAAAATTATTTCAAGAATGATCCATGCATTTCCCACCAAAACCCTTTCCCACCAACACCCTTTCCCACCAACACCCTTTCCCACCAACACCCTTTCCCACCAACACCCTTTCCCACCAAAACCCTTTCCCACCAAAACCCTTTCCCACCAACACCCTTTCCCACCAACACCCTTTCCCACCAACACCCTTTCCCACCAACACCCTTTCCCACCAAAACCCTTTCCCACCAACACCCTTCACCACCAAACCC